GGCAAGTGGGATGGGGAGAGGGAGTGTCAAAAGAGGTTGGGGGCGAGGTGGTGTTTGAGGGGTGGGGAAAATGCTTTGCAGGAAAGTGGGATGGGGAGAGGGAGTGTCAAAAGAGGTTGGAAGGTGCTATCCATGCGAGAGCGCAGGGAGGGAGAGTGTCATGAGGGTTTGCAACATTGCATGTTTGCAAGGATGGGAGACGTGGAGCGGCAAACACATAAGAGCTCCGCTTGAGGAGAGCGAGCAAGTGTATGTATCTGTGAAATGTACGTTGTTTACATTTGTAAGAGAGAGAGGGGCAAGGATGGGAGACGTGGAGCGGCAAAAAAACACATGAGCTCTGCTTGAGGAGAGCGAGTGAAGTGTACGTTGTTTGCGTTTGTAAGAGGAAGGGATGGAGACAGGGAGATAAGAGAAAGCCAAGGGGGGTGCAGAGAAAAGCAGACTGGGTTTGCAGCCGGTGTGCACACAATTCACAACCCCAGATTCTGGTGGTGGCCTGGCAGTATATATATCTCCTTAAGTCTGCTACGATGCTACTGTCGTCATACGGGAGCATTCAACGACAGCCGTTGGCCCCAAAATTGATGATGTTTGTGCGAAGGAGTGACCTGGATCGGAACGCCTTTTCCGTTTATGCCTGTAGCCGTGAGGTCCGGCGACTGTCACAGATGCATGGGTCATAAAGACTCGTAAGACTAATAGCCGTGTAATCGCTAATCATGGCAAACGAAATGGATTGCAGTCTTACTATTCCTCCTGCCGTCCATGTGTGCGTCCATCGTGACAAAAGAAATGGATTGCACAACAGATCAACCCTCTGACGAGCTCCGCTTTCCCCCGGGGAAATAGCTATCAACTCCCTCCGAACATCAGTAAACGAATCACGACCGTAAAATTTCAAGTTTCAAGTAAGTTGGCTAGGGCTTAGGATTTTACGCATGGCATGACCCACAGTAATGAAATAGAGAAACGAAGAAAACCGGTTTCAGTGAATACGAGAGGGGAAGGACGGACAACATTGTAAGGCCCAAAAAAAAAAAAAAACAAAAAAAAAAAAAAAAAAAAAAAAAACATCAAAGGAAAACCCCTAAACAAAGGGCAGGCCAACAAAAAAAAAAAAAAAAACAAAAAAAAAAAAAAAAAAAAAAACAAAGGCAAGTAGGGTTTCGGATTTCAGCAGGGACCACAGTAAGGACCGATTCTGCAGTTCCAGCAATTATGGTAATTCTGACAGCCAAGGAGCTGAGAGGAACAGAGTGGATGAGGCCCAAATAGGCAGGCAGCCATGGGAAGACTGACCACCAACGAAGAATAGAAGCGTAGTTGGGGAAGCTAACTCTGGCAGGGGTGAAGGGTGGTATGTACTTTTTTTTTTTTTTTTTTTTTTTGGGTGTATACTACTATATAGTATATACTATATAATATATATCCTTCCTCCGGGAAGTAAAGTAATCAATGCCGTCCTTCAGGTCTTCCTACGATTAAGGGGAGGAGCGTGTGTGAGTAGTTGTTGTATCCCTTGGACTTGCCGGTGGAATAGGAACCTAACTGATGCTTCCCCGAATGGAAAAGGAGCCAGAACCTTAAACCACCACCAGTACTTCCTAAAGTCATGCCAATTAACAAGCCACAATTTTAGGAAACGTAGGGTCCACGCCGCTTGTTGTTATTGGAAAATTTTCGAGTCACTTTCGGGAGACAGCATTTCTATATCCCTGCATATTTGTCTTCTGTTTCTCTCTCTCTCTCTCTCTCTCTCTCTCTCTCTCTCTCTCTCTCTCTCTCTCTCTCTCTCTCTCTCTCTCTCTCTCTCTCTCT